ACTACCATTTTCTTTGGTCCTATAAGATGGTCTTCAATTCCTACTATTTCAATAGGAGACTGGTTCAAAATATTAAATTCATTATAATTTGGTTGGATTAATACTTCCGTTAGGTTCATCTATATAGAAAATGGGACTTCAGTCTTAAATGAGGTATTTGAAAAACATTTTGAGAGAAACAAAAAAAAAAAAAACATATTTGACAAAATTTTAAATTCTACAACTAGAAAGATAAGATAAAAGATAAAGAATAAGAAATAAAAAATATGATATGGTTGCCATAATTTTTTTGAATAAGTTGTTAAGAGGCCGGTTCGAACCGCCATTAAAAGAGGGAATGCACCTCAAACTGACAGGTTGTCAGTTGGCCTGAAAAACCATGTGCATATTATTACCGTAATTAAAATAAAAAAACCAAGAAGTTTTGAATTTATAATTCCCCCCCTGCCTAATGGTATCATGGGTCCACTTCTAATATTCGACATGTGGTTGGTAATTAAGGTTTCCCATCACTCGAAACCGCGCGAGTAGAGGAATTGAAGGAACTAAAATATAATTAATATTAATTGGATCTTTAAAAAAAATTTTAAAAAATTTAAATTATATTATTTTAATAAAATATTATAAAAAATCAAAATACTCCCTTTTTTTTGCTTAAAAATATATTAATTTAATATTTTTCAATATATATTTATTAAAATGATATAGTTTTAATGTTTTTCTTTTTAATTTTTTTTTTAAAATATTGATTGATAAATATTTTTTAAAATATAATTACCAATATTATCATACTAACATGAATATGGCCATATTTTAATTTAGTTGGAATTTGAGCTCCAGCCTCCACTCATGGCATCCATTAGCAAATGCAAAACGACTCAAAACCCTAGAAGGCAAGAAAAGAAGTGCTTTTTACAAAGAGAGAGCTTTGAGACATGAGTATTATAATATACATGATATTTGTTTTGGCAACGAGAAGATGACAAAGATAAGTAAGATTTATAAACCCTAGAAAGGAACTAATTAATTCTATATAACACCTAGAGATGCTTTCTTGCATTATCATTAATTAATTTTTAATAGATTAAGACTTTGAAAACCCGGTTTTGGGCATGTTAATTCAAGCTTAATGGTCATTAGCGAAGGTTATTTTTGACAATTAAAAGGTTCCTAATTGTTAGGTTATTAGCACATGATTCTACGTGAATTCGAATCATAATATGGATTCGTTTGCGTTTTCACATACCAAAACATCAAGACTTGTTCAAAAGCTAGCTTATGTCACATGCATAAAGATTTAAAAAATGGGGGAAGAGATTGATTAGATAAATGATTAACGTGGATTCTTATATTTCACAAAAAATTAACAATTCGGGCTCGATTTTTCGAATATTCGCACGCATAAGACCTATTTCATTATTCTAACTCATTTGCCTACTTGCTTTAAGTGTTGAGCCTCAACCTTTGCATGTGATGAAATCTCGGGATTGAATACTTTTGCATAAACCTTTGCAACAAGCCCCCCCCCCCCCTTTTAATTTTTTTAATCCTTAATTTTCATTGTTTCTTTGTTCTTTAAATTTCTTTTCCATTCCTAGATATACGATCCAATCTTGTATCTTGAGAACTTAAATCATTTTAGGACGAAGATAAACAACTACAAATATATTTATTCTGTCTCAAAATAACTATCATATTTAATTATATAAGTTTGTCTTGAATTAATCTTTGTTTTTTTCATTTTTTAAGGCAAACAAATTTTTTTCCTACTTTAGTCTTATCATCATCTATTTATTTTAATTAATTATCCTATCACAAAAAATTTTACTTTATCTTTTAATTTTTTTGAAGGTTAATATAAATAAATACATGAATTATTTCTAAATTTTTAATTTTAAAAAATATCAAAATATAATAATTATTTTGGTATGGAAGGAGTATTTACGCACTAATTAAGTAATGACTTCACTTGATTTCGACTATAATGTTTGAAGAGTTCCCATGCTATATAAATATATAACCATTATAATTGTTAAATCCGCAACAAAAATAAACCCAAAAACTGTGATTAATTGTACGTACATTAATTATTGAAGGAATATAATCATCTAACCTTTCCTATGTAATTGAGAAAAACATGAAAATATATAGGTTAAAACCCCTTTTTGGTTCCTGAACTATTGTACGGACTCTCGATTTGGTCCCTGAACTAAAAAAATCCCTGATTTGGTCCCTACTGTTTACCATTTTTACCCCGATTTGGTCCTTCCGTTAAAAATTTGATGATGTGGAAAAAAAATAATATAAAAAAATATTATGAAAAATAAAACTTAATTTTTTTTTCTTTTTTCTTTTTTTCTTTTTTTTCTTTTTCTTTCTCCTTTCCCTTTCCCTTTCTCTTCCTCCTTCCCCTCGGAACCCAGCAGGCCTGGGTTCGTTGCTTAGACTTGGGTTTGTCGAACCCAGGGCTGGGTTCGACGAACCTGGTGCTAGGTTCGACGAACCTAGGCAATCTGGGTCCGCCGAACCCAGGCGATCTAGGTTCGGCCTGGGTTCAACGGACCCAAATCGCTTGGGTTCGACGAACCCATGCGTTGGGTTCAACGAACCTAGCTAGGTTCGAAGGAACCCATCGCCTGGGTTCGATGATCCCAAGCTCTGGGTTCCTTCAAACCCAGTGCTAGGTTCGATCGAACCTAGGTGCTTGGGTTTCATTTGCACCCAGGCGTTGGGTCTCTTCTTGAATTCGGGCATTGGGTTCCTTCGAGAACCCAAGAGCTGGGTTCGTTCAAATCCAAGGGCAAAAAATTTTTTTTTTTTTTTTGTGGGTTTGGTTGTTTAATTAAGATGAAGAATTGTTGGGTTCGATATTGAATTGATTGTTTGATTGAATTGATTGTGTGAATGAAGGATATTGAATTGATTATTTGATTGAATTGATTGTGTGAATAAAGGAAGATTCGAGAAAGAAGATGCTGGAGGAAGAAGATGATGCAAAATTGTAATTTGGTGAGCCCCACTTTTGTTTTTGCATTGGGTATGACCATGTCATCATTTATCCAAGTGTACAATTGACATGGCTTAAATTTTTGATATATCTGTGAGTTAACGGACGATTTTTAATGGAATGACCAAATCAGGGTAAAAATGGTAAACAGTAGGGACCAAATCAGGGATTTTTTTAGTTTAAGGATCAAATCAGGGGTCCGTACAATAGTTCAGGGACCAAAAAGGGGTTTTAACCAAATATATATCAACTTGCATTATACAATAATGCGGGGTATTTTCCGAAAGAACAAAGAGGCTATTGGTCTTGATCGTGACACGTGATGTCGACCTATATATAAATCAGATCTTTGTTTTTAGGCATATTTTTGTCTAATTTTCTGGACCTTAATTTCGATGTTTGATTGTGTTTAGGGCAAGGAATCATGGGTTACACATGCAGGAAGAAAGAATTACGAAAATTAATTTAAGAAGCTGATGATGTGAGGAATGGTCAAATGCCTGCCCGTATGGATCCAGAGGAAACTCTGCCAAGAAGAATCTGATACAGTCAGCTATTCTTTTATAATGATTCTCTACCATTTAATTACCTTATCATATCAATTATATATTTATAAGTATTTTTTAAAAAAACATTTTTAATTGTTGTATTTTTTTGGGTGTTATAAACTTTGAGTTTGGTATTTTTTTTTTTTTGGTTTAACACGTTGAACAACATATTAATTAAAAATTCATTATTTTTTTAATTTAAAATTAAAGATAAATAAATTTAAAAATACAATAGTGTATCCAATATATAAAAATCGATAAAATCAAATATATTTATATTATATTTTAGTAGCTAAATTTTGCAAATAGTAAAAAGTGTGTCGAATAAGGATGTACCAATCATTTTTTTTCTTGAAAAACATAAATTTAAACTAAAATTAAGAAATTTTTATAGAAAGTTAAGAATAACTAAGTCTTAATGTTTAATTTTGCTTTTACATTAACAAATAATTAGTTAAGGAATAAATATTAAACGAATACACATTCCTAGTTTGCTAAGGAAGTTTTTCAAATCTATCTTATTTTTATAATTTGACAAAAAGAACAGCCTTTTTCACCAATCAAACATTACCTAAGATTCGAACATCAAACCTCTAGTGTTAATTATTGTTGGAGAAGCAGGCGGAGGATTGTGGGCAAATACCAGACCCATCTGATAGTTCGGATCTGATATTTACTAGGAGGCCCAACCCAACAGCATCAAAACTTTAGATGGGCCAGCCATAGCCCGAACTAGTACTGAAGAATCCATCCAGACGTTTTCTTTTTGGTAGTCAAAATCTCCATCTAATTCCAGCCTTTACATCTGGCTGTATCGAGGCCCATTTCATCCGGGCATGGGCCTTTTGGTCCACCAGATGAAATGGGCCTCTATATTTATTAACACTTGATTCACTTCCCCTGAGTCACGCGTCCCTCCAAAATTTTTTCACTTTGTTCGTTAGAATCAGCCGTCTCCCCTGTTGGGAAATTAAGGGCGGGGCAACTTTCCCCCCAAAATTTTCACTGTGAGTTCAGGTTTTCTCAGGGTTTTTAAGAGAAACCCCTTGAAAACCCAGGCTGGAAAACCCGGGGTTGGGTACAAGTTTAAAGATTTCTGCTTTCCTCGGTGAAATTAGGGTTTCCAGTGGTTTGGGCTGATTTTGAATCTAGGGTTTTAGACAGCTGGTTGTGGGGGGGTTTCTGTCGGGTTGGTTTTTGTAATTGGGTTGTTCTTGGGGTTTTGGGTGAATTGAGAATTTAGGGTTTTAGAGCAGTTAGGGTTTCTTTGTTTTTGGGTAAAGTTAGGGTTCTTTGAAGGATGGATTCTGATCAAGGGAAACTCTTTGTGGGAGGCATATCGCGAGAGACTAGTGAAGATACCTTAAAGGGTCATTTTAGCAAGTATGGCACCGTTTTGAGCTCGGTGGTGGCTAGGGACAGGATCACGAAAAGCCCCAGGGGTTTTGGCTTTGTTCTGTTTTCAGAGCCTTCTGCAGCTGACAAAGCACTTCAAGACACCCATGTTATTCTTGGAAGAACGGTCAGTTTGAACAATCTTTAATAATTCTTTCTTTTTTCGTAATATTAATTCTCTTGATTCAGCTAAATTTGGAGTTTTTAATTAATACTCTGTTTTGGTTGCATATTTTGTTTATGGCTGTTTTGCTTTCTCATGGAACTGCATTAGTAACAGTTTTCGGTTCACCTTTTTAAGAGATCATGCTCTTATTTTTCTGGGTTGCTTAATTTTATTGCTTCGTTTTTTAGGTAGAAGTGAAAAAGGCAATCCCAAGAAGTGAACAACATCAAAACCAACAGCAACAGCAGCAACAACATCCTAACCCCAGCCAAGAACGCAGTGGTGGGTTGAACCAAAATTGTAGGAATGATGACAGCAAAAATCAGCTCAAGACTAAAAAGATTTTTGTAGGGGGTTTATCAGCTAGTCTAACTGAAGATGAGTTCAGGAACTATTTCTCAAGGTTTGGTAGGATAACAGATGTTGTTGTGATGCATGACAGCACAACCAATCGACCAAGGGGATTTGGGTTTGTTACTTTTGACTCAGAGGATTCTGTTGAGAATGTTATGCAGAAGACTTTCCATGAGTTAAATAGTAGGTTTGTTGAAGTCAAACGTGCTGTGCCAAAAGATGGAAGTAATGGTAGTAATAATAATTATATTTCAAAGGGCGGTGTTGGAAGTAGGTCTCCTTATGATGGATTTCAGCCTTTTGAGTATCCTCCAAGTGGTCTTGGATATGAAGTTTTTCCTGGCTATGCTACTTTTCCAGGGTATAATGGTGTTGGAGCTTATCCTTATACAGTAGGCTTTTATGGCGGTGGGTACCCTGCCGTAGGGTATGGTAGGATTGGTTATGGCATGAGTACTGTTGCCCCTAGGGGCCCTTTGTATCCCCCAGTGATCCTTGGAGGAAGGGTTTGCACTGTGCTGCCATATGGTGGTGCTGATGCTTGTGGTTATACTGCTTACATGAATGGTGGGGTTGGTATGATGGGTACAATGGCTGGTGGGAACTGGGTTATGAGGCCTGAAGTGGATGGGCAGTTGGATCAGGTTGTTGGTAGCAATGAAGATCAGCCTGCTAATGCCACATCACCTCAGATTGAAGGGATAAAATCTGATATTGATCCTTCAGGTGTAACAAAAAGTAGTGGTGGTGCTTATGGCAAGCAGAATCAGAGAGCTCCTGATGGGAAATCAGAGCCTTTACCTGTAGGTGATTCTAGATAACTACCTTGTGCATTTCAAGACAGTGACGAGTTAGTAAATTCTTTCACAGTATGGGTCATGACTTCTAACCATCAGTGTTTAAATGTCCTTAATTTTTTAGATGTTATTCTGTTTTAGTAAATTCGTAATCATGTTGCATGCTATATGTCATCTGTGGTTTTCTTGGTTTGTGAGTACAGGATTGTGCACTCTGTAATATAACTGCATTTCATTCTTCTCCTGGCTCTTCCTACCATTCTGTTATGCCTTGAGAAAGACCATCTAAACAAGCCCGTATGCTGGAAGCAGCATACCTTCTTTCTTGCTTTTGGCTTTATTTGAATTGATTCTCGATCTCCTCTTCCATCTGATTGGCATGCATGTGTATGCACAAAAAATTATCTTAAATTGGTCTGTTAGTTTTCCAAGTTCGAATTATATTACGATGCAGGTGCTATCTATGAAACAATATCTGACATTCCCCTTGTAAGGGAGAATTTTTATCTGAAGTCTTGTGCAGTTGAACGAATTTTTTTTTTTTTAGTGTTTTAGCTATTTTATGCATTGATGAATCTGTTTTTTCATACATTATTAGGTTTCCTTCACCATTCGCTTTTACAATGCATCTGTCTCTCTTTTTCCTTTTTGTAAAGCCATTGATAGAAATGGTATGGTTCCATAGCGTTGCATTACAAGAGATGGATCTGATTCTACCTTCCTGCTATTCTCTCCCTCTAACCAGACATCATCTACGCACAGCCCGCCGCCGCCGCCAAGAAGAGAAAAACGCGAGTAAAGGTTGTATAAGCGAAGCATTCGCCAGAAATAAACAGCAGGAGTTTTTATCACTTGTCACTTGAATTTCAGTAGTTTGCTTCCAAGTGAGGAAAGCATTTGCCCGAAATCAAGAAAACAACTACGGGCTGTTACGAATGTTTTAATTTCCTAGTAAATAAAAGTGTTTTCAAATATTAACAATGATTTATTAATTCAAGTGACTTAAGTGTTTTTTTGTCAAATAAGATTTTGAGTTTTAATCTTTTAAATATAAAAATAAATACCAAAAAAGCTTTTTTCTATATATAATTTAAATTGATTTAATTTTAAATTAATCAAGTTTAATGAAATTGAGAGGTGAATATAAAAAAAAAAATTTTAAAACTTTTTCAAACATTCAATTTCTCTAAAAGTAAAAGTTATATGGAAGGAATTATTAAAAATTAAGAAATATTTAAAATAACATATTATTACTTTTTCCCATATAAAATAAAAAAGAAAAAAACTGTTTTTAAGTCAAATTACACATGTAAATTTAACACTAAAATTATGAAAATATTTTAAATAAAATTTATCTTTATATTTATTCATTTATGATAATTTAATAATTTTAATAATGGGTCCAAACTGAACTATATCAAGCTCATCAAATTATAAAATTAAGAGAAAATCAAAATATATAATTAAAGAAATTATTTTTTTGGTGAAAAATATCTACGCCGTTGCTGCTGATGCTAACGAGTTGGTTTGGTCTTTGGTGGCTGAAATTCAGCTGAAGATATGCTTTTGCTAAGCTCTTCTACCGGCGGTCTTGCTGCCGGAAAATGTTCCATCAAATTCACGGCTCCGATTCAACCTTTCTTCTCCAATACTACCATTAATCCAAGACCCAAGTTCCTTTTCAAAGGGAACACTCAGAAACGCCTTAATCTCATTTTAGCTAAGGCCGAGGGTGGCGTAGATTCTTCCTCTGCAACGAAACAGTCTTCTTCTAGCTCCTCCACTGCATCATCCCCTCCGCCATTCAACAATGAAGATACCGTCTTTGTGGGTCAAGAGGGTGTTCCGTTGGAGGGTGTGATCCAGTTCGACAAACCTGCTTCATCTTCTTCTTTGAATAAATGGGGGTTAGCTTATACCTCTATTCTGTTGCATCTCCTTCTCCTTACTCATTTTTCTTTTCTAGATGATAATTGTGTTGGATTGTTATGTGTTTCAGTCGCATTGCCCTGCTTTCTGGTGGGGATGTTTTGGCTTTGCTTTTATTCTCTGCAATTGGAAGATTCAATCATGGCCTTCCTCTCTTTGACTTGGGCACTCTACGTACAGCTGACCCTTTTATAGCTGGTATTTGTGCAGTTTATAATCTGTATTCTGGATTGAATTTGAGGGGAAACAAAAAAATTTTTCTTTCCTTTTCTTGTGTTAAATTGGAAGTGTGGATTGATAGGATGGTTCTTGAGTGCATACTTTGTTGGTGGTTATGCCGAGGATGGTCGAGGAATGAACGGTCTTTCAAAGGCTGTATTTGCTGCTGCTAAGTCGTGGGCTCTAGGAATTCCGGTGAGTTCATCTTGATTTTCTGTTGATAATCCTGCTTTTGAATTTTTGTGTATTTGCATTACATTGCTTTCAGGTCTCAATGGTTTGTTTGTTAACTAGATGCTGACTAACTTGTTTCCCTCTTTACTGTAGAAGCATGGCTACATTTTAGGTCTATTATGGGTACTCCATAATCCATAGGAATTTTGTTAATGTGGTTTGTCTCAAACGTGGTTTATGTCAAACATATTATTTAAATGGAAGAAATTGTTGTAATTTTCTATTATCTTAAGATAGACTATGCTGCTCCAGGACAAAAATAGGTTCCTTTCATCAGCTTATAGTGAGTAAGATAAAATGTCTATTCTATCAAATGAAATGTCTTCCATATTATGTTGTAGAGTTTGATCTCAACAATCTTGCTATGCCTCTGGTAAAAAAATGTAAAAATAAAAATCTTTCCATGCCTTGGAATTATTAATGGTGATTATGTGCTGGCAACATGTTATGAATTTGAATTTGTATTGTGGCAACAATCTTTTTCTAGTTTCCAACTTTGTTTTCTTTTGAGAATTATTCTAAAGACCATAATGGTTGGACAGATATCATGATTTGGTATGGCATATATGCTGAAGGAAAAAATTGTGAGGTGAAAAAGGTTTTTTATTTTTATTTTTTCAAAATTAAATTGAAGACCTTCATTTGATCTAGTGCAGTATGCTTTTGTGTCATCTGAGTTGTTAACAGCCAATTACATTTCTTTCAAAACAAGTTTTTAACATTTAACCCTACTGTTTGAGGTTTCTCTGTGCTAAGGACTGACTAGAGTATTCAGCACAGAAAATTGTAGTTAAGGGCTTTGTGTGCTATGAAAAATTTCTATTATCTTGCAATGATTTAGGTTCTATTAAATTTTAACATTTCTTAAGTGATTTTTGAGAAATGCTTAATTGATTTGTTTTGTTTTTCAGAAAGAACAGCCTTTTCCTTGTTTGGCATTTACAAGTGCTTCAGTTGTTCTTTGAGTTTAGTTGATTCTTTGCTTTGGCTTGTCTTATGATGCACAACTTAGAAGCTTTAGATTTTAAATCTCACCTTATTGTTGATTTTATGTCTAATCTTAAATTTTGTTCTGTATTTCCAGCTATAGGCTATGCACAGTTGCACTAGACAACCATTTTTCTGTGTACCAAAGTTTAATCTTACAAATTATGTTTTAAGTTTGTTCTATAGTTACACAAATCCAATTAAATTTTATTGAATCCCTATTTCTTTATTTATAGCTGGGATTAATTATAAGGACTGCAACATCTGGCCATATCCCACCATACAGCTTTATCCTGGTAACCATGGGAACCACTGCTGTTTTACTAATTGGGTGGAGGGCACTATTGTTCAGTATTTTCCCCTACAAAACAAACAAGAACAATGATGTATACCGTCGTGGTAGTCCATTTGAGCTATTTGAGGTATGGAGAATCCACTTCTTGGCTAGCATCATGGCTAATGAACTGGCAGCTTTGTATTGTGGAAGTTCTTTGTGGTGGCAGCAAAATATTTTTTATTTTCTTACCATCATAGTAAAAATCTGAAAATCAGTTTGAGATGGGCAATGGCATTTTTGCGTAATTAGAAGTGATCATAACAGAATTCCCTGTACATTGTATGTCTAGAACTGTATGCAAGACTTCAGGCTAAAAAAATAGAAAAAAAAGAAGTGTGTCCAACTGCAAGTACTTCAGTCTAGATGACTGAGCTTATCTGAGATTATGTCTAGTTGTTTGGTAAAATGGTTTGAAAACAATGAAATTGTGAATATATAGCATCTAACTTCTGAGATGATCTTGAGTTTTCCTTGTAGGTGCCTAGTTAGATTATGAAATTGCATAGTAGCTAAGCATTGATTAGAAAATGTAAAATGTCAACTACTTGCTAAGGAATTTTCCTTTTTTCAAAAGAAAAAATTTCTGTATATTTACTGAGGGATGACATATTTCCCCACCTATTTTTCCACTTTCCTTGGTCTTCGATCTATCTTGGCTTTGCAAGTGCAAATTTGATAACATGTGTTTCTTTTAGCTTATGCTTCTTGATTAACCATTGGTTTTCTCTGCTGCAAGACTGACAAACTAATTCCTAATGGAAGATCATTACTGTTATTATTATTATTTTTTGTGCAGTTGCTTACATCACTGGTTCGAAGGTGGTAACAGTGGACCTTAAAAAAAAAAAAGAGTGCTAAGAAGAAGACCCAGTTCCTCTTCCATGAATTTGTACTCTATCGGGGAAATCCTTCTCACAGTGTTTCATCTCACATATGGTCATTGTACTTATTGGCTACGTTTTTTGACAGGTAAGGAATCTCATATTGAATTTATTTATATTCAAATGTAATATTTTGCATGTTCTTCATATATATATATATATATAGATATAGATATAGATATATATTGAGAAATTGGCGAGAGCAATTTCATTGAGACTGCCTTGACTACTCTTTCTTAGAACTGGCACTGGAGTATATCCATGGGAAATTAGGAAGGATTAGAACAAGACACATAATTCATTCAGGAAGTCTATCCTGCACCCAGTTCTGACTTTCCATCCTATTATTTTGAATCATCTATGGACTAAGATTAGATTAATGAGAATAAACTTCCCATTCCCCTATAAATTAATAATTATAAATGAACTCTAAACTGTTGGCCAAAAAAAAAAAAAAACAGAAAACAAACCTTAAACTGTAGAACCCTCTAGGATAAAGAAGGTACTCTCATCTGCTGTCAATTTTGTTGGATGCTGCTTTTATTGTCTAGAATGCTTGGCCTGATTTCTTTGGTATGGTACGTGATATTTTAGCTTAGGGTATGTACCACAACTTTTGTTTCTTGTTGTTTCTGGTTTGAACAGAGCCCAAAATAAGTGGCCCTGTTTTCATACAGCTCCTCTGGACATGGGAAGTGGGCAAGCAGTCATCCACCATTGGCAATTCCAGCTCTCACTAATTCCCTGCTTGGCCTGGCATTGCTCAATTGGTGAATGATTAGCAGTTTAGCACTTTGCACGACCCATCTTACCAAGGAGCATGTGTGTTTGGTGTTTCCACCATTATAGACAATTTTTTTTTTGGTTGGCTGACACCCATTATTGTCGTTCCTCGGATGGTCTCCATCGTTCATTTATTTGGATTTAGATAGAGATCCAGCGTCCTAAGTGTCTCGCAACGCAGCTATGAATTTTCATTACATTAAAGTTTTGTCAGGCTGCCTCCCGGCTATGATCAAAATTTGATTATGACATTGTGTCGTCCTCACTCCCGTCCTTCATGTTTTGAACAAAATGGTGAACAGTGTATTATGATCCGGGGGTTCCTCATGAATATCATCCAATTGAAATGATGATAATGATGTTATTGGATGAGTTTCGCCTAGGCTTTCTGTCAGTTTGTGCCTAATTCCATGAACCCTGGAAACTTGAATGACCGTGCCACTGCCATGGTAATTCACTTCTTAATCTATGTTTCTGTCAATTTTTTTTTTATGTCTTTTGAACATGGGAAACATTTTTGGGAGAGGGGGAGTTCAACTCTCAACCTAGTAACCCCCCAAGCTTTTAGGGCATGGGGTTTGAACCAACTTGCTCTAATGGGCTGGTTACGTTTCTGTCAAATTATTCACAAGGAAATCCAGCTCAAGAACAACTTTCCCACAAATCTTCTTCCCAAGAATCTTGTTTGTTTCGTAGGAAAATCCACGTCCCTGGTTTTGCCACACAAACTAGTGGATCTAGTTGGGAGACTTTTCATGCAAATGGGAAAATCCTGATTGATTGGACACCCACGCTCCTTTTTGGGTGACAGAGCATGGCTAGCAGCACTGCTGCAATTGAGGCGGGCTCCTGTATTATTAGACAATTCATTTTCAATCTGTAGATCTGAAACTGAAAGAGCTATAGCCGTCAAAAGCAGACCCCTCTCTGCTTCCTTGATGTGTCCCATCAGCTACAATAGTTCCCTAATTTGACCATCATTCCCCTCCCCTCATTGATCATATGGCTATGATCATCCTATCACATCATTGTTGCAGAGTCAATAGTAGTATATTTTTCTCTTCCTTTTGTTTTTTGTCAAGGCTAAATATATGGAAAATCGTGGGAAAAGGAATTACAATTACGAGTAATAGGCAAAGTTTGACTCCTACCTAAAGAGTCTCAAATCATGGTTAATAGAGTGGGAATAAACCCTTTTTTTAGGGCACTAAATAATAGACTTGTAAGGAGGGTATTCTTTTCTTTCTTTCTTTCTTTCTTTCTTTTTTTTTTTTTTTTTTTCAAATCTTAAATTAAAATTTTAAGTTTTTAATTAATTTAATATTCCATGAAGCATGGTAATAAACTAGTTAGCAAGAATGTAATCTACCATTTAAGTGCGGTTATATCTTTAACCTACAATGTAAGAGATTGTTATCTGGTGGGCTAATATGATTGGGAGAAAAGCGTGCTTTCTTAGACCTTAAATTTGAATTATCCTCTGTTTGAAGGAGAATTCAGCAGGGGCAGCGGGACCTTTCTTTTTCTTACTCCTGGGAAAAGTCCAATGATACATGTTTGGTCTTAAAAACCAACTTACTATAAGAAGAAACATATCCTTCATTGTTTTCTGCCAATCTGCCATCAACAAGTTAAAAGGTACTGCGAAGCAAAATGAATAACAATTTCAAGGCAATGCTGTTCCAGACATTTAAAGGTACGTGTGATATCTAGGAGGGATGACTTGAGGACATGGCAATAAACTCATTAATATAAGATAATATAGCCCTCACCACCTCTCTCTTCAATCTAAATTCTCCCAACCATAAATTTTATTAATTTCTCTTTATTTTCACTCTTTTAGAAGACCCCTCTTTCCATTTATCCATTTGTGACAAAAGAAGCAGCTAACGCATTAGAAGAGGCTAAGCCATCAGTTAGTGTGAAGAAGAAGAAGAATAGAGGGAGAATCTATGGTGAGTTGGACATAACACATGGGGATGAATTTTGACATGTCATGGTGTCTGGTTAAAGAGAAGTGACAAATGGGAAAATGGGGTGTTAAAATGGTTTTTATTTTTTAAGTTGGGTTAGGCGAAGAAAGGAAGAGTCTTGGATTGGGCGTGGCGTCCTAATTAAGGGTACCCTCTCTTTTTTTTCTTCTCATTGAGTAATAAAGCATATTCAAAAGAGTGAAGGAGAAAGAACAGTGAGGCACAGGCTGTTGCTGTCCTTATTGGGTATTGCCTCTTCCTCTGAAATCTTTCTCTAGATTTTGTTTGGATCTTGTGTTCTCACGTGACTCTCATAACTCCTTCCCTTCATTTAATTCTCTCTGTGTAGGGCTGGACCTCAGACAGATTGATTTCGAGCAGAACACAACACGATTCTTTAATTTTAGAACACAATAAGTTGAAATTGGCGGATGTGTTGTCCATTGTGCAGAAACCAGGAGAGAACCAAACCCTAACGCTACTCCAGTGAGTAGTAATCCACACTGTTGAAATGTGGTTATTGTCACCTAAAGAAATGTTATGACCTCATAAATTTATCCTTTTTTTCTTCTGAATAGTTAGTTATAGTGTTTAGATACATTAGTTTATAGATTGATTTTAATTTGTTAAGTAATAAACTTTAATTTTTTCTATTAATATCAGCTAACTCCTACATATATATCAATTGTAACAATCAAATCAAATAGAGATTATTATACTTATAAAGACTATTAAAAAATTTATGTGATTATAACAGTTGTGTGTGTCAATAACTATGCCCACCCTGTTGAGATTATGTTTTGACCTAATTAAGGCTGTTTCTAGAGGGTGACATCTTTCATATTTGGCTTATCAGATAAGGCAAAGCTGGATGCATTCTGTGTATCCCATTTGTATTTTCATTTTTTCTACATTCGGTGTCTGAATTATACAATATGAGATATTTCTCACCTTTCTTGAAAATTTGAATTTTAGATATATATATATATATATATATATCCCATTTGTATTTTCATTTTTTCTACATTCGGTGTCTGAATTATACAATATGAGATATTTCTTACCTTTCTTGAAAATTTGAATTTTAGATATATATATATATATATATATTTATCCAAGTTTGCTGGTGACTCCTCATTGGGAGCATCCCTTTTTTTTGTTTGCTATATAATAGTCAACACCCTTATTGTTATCAAAACTAAGTTGTGGTCTCTCGTTTGAACTGAACTGTCCTTGATGTAATGTTGAACTAGATCAAGTAGTTTCTTGAGCTAGTTTATTAAAATGATATGATTTGGTTAAGATAAGGACATGCTTAATGTGTTAGAAATCTGAAGCATATTTACTATGTAATATACTATACAATATATAATATGAGATAGTTCTCTTTTTTACCTTAATAGATTTGCATTTGTCTCAAGATTTGATCTTAAAGTGATCCCTTTATTTTTTCTTTTTTCTTTTTTCTCTTTTTACCTTATAAATGGGCTAGTTCTCTTTTTTACCTTAAGGTGATCTTAATTAACTTGAATTCTTTTTATTATTATTATTATTATTATTCTTAGTTATCTTTCTACTCAACATATTCCATCCTTTGTAGTTTGTACTCTTTTGTTTAATTCCTATCAGGAAGGTAAAATGCTGGGCCACATGGTCTGTGAGGTAGAGACTCGCCCTATGGTGACCAATGAGTAAAAATGAAGAAACAATGAATCAGCACCTACAGAGACCTTTCCATTTTTGCTCCTCTCTGTAGAAGCATGGTGAAATTCAATCAACTAATTTAACACAAACCCAAAACAGTACTGTATCAAGAACCTGCTGTGATTGCTTTATAATAATCTTGAGTTGAATTCATGGCAGAAATTTTCAGTGAGAGGGTTGCTGCCTGGCTCTAGCGCTGGTGTTTGGTTAAATCAAAGTCAATTGAACCAAATTGTTAGATAACCAAATTTTTTTGACAAAACAGTAGTATTTCAAAATCAGAACACTTAACCCATTGTGGTAACTACCAAACATCTCTTTTTGTAAGAACAAGAAATAAGAAACAAAAAACAAAAAAAGAAGTGTCATCATTGCTGAATAATAATCAAAAGACTCCCATTCCTACCTCTGTGCTCGCACTATCTCTCCAATCTCCACAATGGTCGTAGTCACTTCCTCCTTTTCCTCTCAGGTTAAACCAAATGATTTGCATTTGAATATCTGTCTCCATAATTACCTTCACGCACATCTCCATGCAAATGACCTAGCACGTAAAAAGAACCTCGACAGATGGGGGGAGCGGTTGTCGCCACATGTAATTTTATTAAAAATAAAAAAAAGGGAATTAAGTTGAATAAAAATTTAATAAATTAAAAAAAAATTTAAAATAATTAATTATATTATTAAAAATATTAATTTATAATGTAATTTTAATTTATTAAGTATTAAATATTTATTATTAATTATTTTTAATAATTAAATTAATGGAATTAATTTTTTAAAATTATTATTGTGTGGTGATAACTATAGGCTAACAAATAATCATAAACCCATAGATGTATATATAATGTTCTAAATCTCTAAAAAATTAAGAGAAGTTATATATGTCTTTTTCGATGAAAATTAAAATAAATGATGTAGTTTTTAAGTATTTTTAAAAAATTTTTAAAGAAATTTAATTAACTAATAAATATTTTACCATTTATTATATCATATTGCTTGAGCGTGACCCCGTGCAACTAACAGAGAAGAGTGGGAGAAAAGTCTTAACACTGAGATTTTCAAATTTGAATTTCAGGATGCTTAAAGATATGTACAAGAAAGATGAAGGTTGTCCCACAGATGGATTGATATAAAAACTTCTCCGGACAGAAGATAAATTTGAATGAAAATTAAACAAAAAAAAAAATCAGAGATATTTGTTTTTGTATTATTTTCTAATATAATTTTACGTGTCATTTAAATGATTCAATCTTTTTATCTATTTGAAACTTGTAATATTAAGTATATTTATTTATTTAATAACATATTAAAATTATATAAAAAA